CCACTTGAACCACAGTGCCACTTCCGGCTTTTTTTCTTTTTGCTTATGTGGTGCTGAGGAATTGAACCCAGGGCCTCATGCATGCAAGGCAAGCGCTCTGCCACTGAGCCACCTTCCCTGCCCCTGTGGGCAGGTCTTGTAGGAAGAGATTATGTTGTGCAGAGGTGAGGGATGGGGGTCAGAGGCAGGCTTTTTTTTTTGCCAGTAGTGGGGCTTAAACTCAGGGCCTGGCCACTGTCTCCTAGATTTTTTTTTTTCACTAAGGCTAGCACTCTACCATTTGAGCCAAAGCTCTATTTCTAGTCTTTTGGTGATTAATTGGAAATGGGAAACTCATGGACTTTCCTTGCCCAGGCTGGCTGTTACTCTCAATCCTCACATCTCAGCCTTCTGAGTAGCTAGGATGATATACATAAACCACCAGTGCTCAGCCAACGGAGGGATTTTGACAATCAAGCTCCACTTTCCCTCTTTCCTAAAGCTCGGGATTCTATTAGTGTGTCCCTTCTTTGGAGCACCCTGCCTCACTGGCTATGACATAATGCAGTGTTCCCACACCTGTTGGAGGTTCACATAAGGTAGCTCAGTAGACTGCAAGTCTCCAGACGACTGGGAGAACTAAAAAGGGATACAAGTATGACTTCTCCACTTCCTCCTCACCCCAGGACACTGTTCCTGCCATTTCCTTTTCTAGGCCTGAGCTTTGCCTTTCCATATGCCTGCCTGTGTAAGCATACTGACAGACACATCAGTGGATGTGTGCTTATGAATGCATGCTGTACATCATGGGACAGAGTATCAAACACAATGGTACTACAGGCAGTGTGTGTGTGTGTGTGTGTGTGTTGGCACTGGGTCTTGAACTCAGGGCTTCCTGCTCTCACTTGGCTCTCTCCCTCAAGACTGGTGGTCTACTACTTACTCCACACCTCCATTTCTGACTTTCTGATGGTTAACTGGAAGTAAGAGTCTCAAATTTGTCTGTACTAGCTTTAAACTGTGATCCTCAGATCTCATATATATATATATAATATATATATGTGCATATGTATATATATGTATGTATATGTATGTGTGTATATATATCAGTGAAAAATCCTGCAAAACTTCCCCACTAAGGCTTTCCTCTGGCAGCAAATTCAGGAAACTCAACTTTTAACCACCTCCCTGTAGCCCCAGCCACATTTAGTAGCAGATGATTTTATTACAGGAAGTTCTCAGAATGTTCACTGTAACCTGGCCAGGCAGAAAAGTGAAATCCTCATTTGTAGTCATTTGGGCTTTGATATGATTGCCTTATCAGCGTCCTGGCCACTGACTGGGTTGCTCAGACTCCAGGCACCTGTGCTACTTGGAGCCAGAGGCCTAGGGTGCTCACATTGTCAAGGCTGCTCCGCCCCCATCAGGTGGGCTACTACAACAATCACAGGAACAGTCTCCACAGTGTGTGTGTGGGGGGGGGGGGGAGGAGGTATTTAACAAGGAGTTTCAGGCCCCTGGCCTCATTCTACTGAATGGCAGGATGAGGCAGAGGAGGGCAACCCCAACATTATGCAGGATTCCTCAGTACAAGGAAGATTCTAAATCCTTCAGATTCAGTGGCATCAATACTGTTGAGTAAGTATTTCTATTACCACCTCCTCCCTTATTAAACTGGTGACAAAGGCAGGAGAAGGTTCCTTTTGTCCTAAAGTCAGTGTAGGCTTCAGCCATTTCCTTCTTATTCTCCTCCATTTCTATCCATGGTGAAAGAAGAGCAGGAGAAAGCCATTAGACCATGCCCATTCCACTCCCTCCCCCCCAAAAAATCTTTAAGATACCAGGGGCTGGCACTGTGCACATAGGTCACAAAGCCCAGATTTCTCTCAGGTCATCCCAGAGTCCAGATCTCCTGGAAAGCAGCCCTGTACAAACGACCCTCTTGCCACCTTGGCCAGGGAAGCAAGCAAGGTACTTCTGGCTCCAGGGGAAGAGGGTCCCTCAGGAGGTACTGGCTTTCAGAGCAGCTGGGAACAATTTCCTAAGGAGAGGTGGAGTCCCTGAAATACAACTGCAGCTGGGGGGACTGTTTCTCCATTTTAAATATCCTGGGTCTCCCTGGCACACCACCATCACCACTCCCCTAACACAGCTAGGTGTTTTCTATAGAGTCCACCCACCTACTTCTCTTAATGGGGAGGGCAAAATAAGACCTTGGGTTGGCTTTAGGCCTCATCAAAAATTTTAATATAGCTTTTTCTCCACCCTAATTGAGTTTTATTTGTTCACTAGCCTGACACATTAATTTTAGTTTTTCCTTCCTGGACTCAATTCACCCATATATCTACATAGATAGATAGATAGATAGACAGACAGACAGACAGATAGTGTTTCATCTCACACAAGAGATTCAAATTCCCGATGATTTAATTGATCAGCCAATAGTCTGGCTGCCTGGAATAATCTACATCCTCCATTGTCCAAGTAGAAATAGAAACCTTTCCCTTGTCCTCCTCCAGGAGTCCTACCCTCTACAAGGGTCTTAAAGCAAGCAAGCAAGCAAGCAAGCGCGTGCACACACACACACACACACACACACAAAGGCACAGATGGGAAGTTGCTGGAAGCCCAACGGCTTTTTTTTTTATTCAAAAATTCGTTTCAGATGCAAAATCAGGTGGGCAAGTCTTCCGCCACCACTGCTGCTTCTTCAACCGTCCTCCCACTACCCGCCCCCGCCAACACACACAAAATTCCCCTGCGAGCCAGCTCAGCCCCGGAGTCCCCAACTCTGTAAGCCAAGACCTGTTAAGAACCCTCCTGCTCTCCACTCCACCGTGAAGCGCACCCGGGACCCAGCTGGTCTTGGCAGTCCCATCTCGCCCCTGCCGCGAGCCCCAGGATGTCCCGGTCCCGGCTGCTCGGAGGCACGTCGGGGGTGGGGTGGGGGGTCTCGCGCGCAGTGCCCCGAGTGGCCGGCGGCCACCCGCCCCTGTGGCGGGGCCGGCGAGGGCGGCGGGGCGCGGCGCTCAGTACAGCCCCAGGATGGCGGCTCCCACGTCCTTGGAGGGCCGGCGCTCCTGCACCAGAAAGTTGATCATGCTTTCGGACTTGATGAGCAGATTGCAGCCCAAGAAGAAAACGCCGAAGACCACGGTGAGCGACAGCACACAGAGCACGGCGATCTGCGCCACGCGCGACACCCACAAGCTGCGCTCGTCGGGCGCCAGCCCCGCGGGGACCCCGTCGCTGGCGGCCAGCGGCGCACCCCCGGGACAGCAGTCCAG